TCGAGGTCGTTGACGTGGGGGACGCCGGCGTCGCGGTGCCTAGAGGCTGGAGTATTAAAGTAGTCGGGGCCGGCGGTGTCATTATCGCCGGGCGGGGGCGGTGCACCCGCGCCATCGGAGGTCGCGGGGGCGCAATAGAGCTCTGCTGTTGCTGCTGGAGGGACTGTGACGCGGACGTCTGGTTGGCCAGTCCGCCATGATGGGCCATGTATGAACAGTCTTCCTTCAGTTTCTCTTCACAGCATTAATTCGTCTTTGGCGATAGTATCCCAGGACCCATCATTGTTCTCAGCTCCCATCTCACGCCTTGCCGAACGCAACAATCCTTGTTGCCGTGTAGCTCACAGATCCAACATGGCTGCAACGAACGCCGGCTGAAACAAAATTCACATCGTAAGCGTGGGGAATCCTCCGTCAGTCTTCAGTACAGGCCTGTAAGCTACATCACCCAACAGGCGAGAAGACATCAATGAGATCTGAGGTTCTCAAGGCGGTAAAGATGTCGCTCTTGGTCTTGTAGTTGGTAACACCGTGCGGGCTTAGAGGCATTCAGCCCTGAAGATGGAGGAAGTATGTTCCTCCGAAACATTGGTACCTACCCACGGCGTTACAACCCAGAAGACCAACATCGACATCCTGACTCTCCCCTTAAAAGCAAAATTAGAGATAGAGAGACGTGATATTAAGAAGGCGTGGAATTGTTCCTGATTTCGCACGTTCGTCAGTTTGGCGCTGAAGGGAAATTCATTTCAACCATCGGGGAAAACTTACGACAGTAGCGTGCACCGTTGCAAATGTTTATTTTAGTAAGTCTTCCAACCTGTAATGCGCCTTTGAAATCCCAAGACGTCCATCTGTAAGGTTATCAGAAACTAGACTGAACTTGAGACCGACATTAACGATGCACGATTTGCCTGTCACAAGTGCGCAGTCGCGTTGTCTGCCAATTTGTAGTGCAGTCAGCTGACTGAGGCACCATGCTACGCCAGGACGCACAGTATTAAATTTAAATCCTGAACTTTTAAATAAAATTAAAGAAATTTGACAAACAATCTAGATCAATCTTTATACTTTATGTATTAAACCAATGGCTGACTCCTAGAGTTAAAACCCTCATCAGAGCGTCTTTGTATTATTATTATTATTAATTTATATTCCTCCTTGCAAGGAGTTTTGTCAGATTTCCAAACTAATTCATGATTTTTAGAAGTAATTCAGAATTGGAAGAGTCCACAAGGCCTGAACGGTAATTACAATTATTACATCGTTTAAAAGCAAACGAATACGTAATTTTGCTGACAGGGTCAGAATATGGGCTGGATTCTTCTGCTTTAGGATAGCAGCCAGTGGCGAGCTGTAAAAAAAACACGCGATGGACCTTAGGGATACACATAAGGCAGGGGAATTTCTTGACTACAAGAAATACAGTTTCTCCATGGGAACCAAATCAGCTTCGCAATTCCTTTAAGACTTATCACACGATCGTCAATTCGTACACTTCACGGAGAAAATCTACAAAGAAAAGAAATACTTCCGAATATTATCTTACAACAGATTTATATTTGTAATAAATAAACGCGAGTGGTAATACACGATGTATAACTCGCTAAAAAAAACTCATAAAATGCTAAAGTTCTTGAGGGCGGTAGGAATTATGGTCTTCGAGGTTATGATTACACAGCAACATAACCTACAATGTCACAGACATAACTTCCACACTCCCTGTGTAAGGAACTTATAAGAGACGTTTGCTTTGACGAATAAAGAAGATAATTTCTTCCAAAATTCCACTGAAGAGCGGACATTTCGACGGCCTCAATTAAGAAAGAAGACCTGAAAGCTTCTAGTGACGGTTTCACCCAAATTCTGAACTCAGGGCCGCCCAACCCTGCGATAAAATATCACGCGTCAAACTGAACACATGGCGTAGGAATTGATTTTCGATCCGATTCTCAACGATTACGGAACTACGAGCATACTTTAATATGATCTGAACAGGCATAAAACACGATTAAGGCTTTGACCGGGATGTTCTTTTGTTAAATCTTATGTGGTACCGCCTGATTCGACTTCTAATGGTTAAGTGAAGTGTTTTCTTCGCGGTACGGTCTGGATTCGTAAATAATATTCAGACGATCTTCGGCTTCAAAGGGTTAACCAGCTAATTTTCGTAATGGTGAGATGTAGTGTTTTCTTAAATCTTATGTGGTATCGCCTGATTCGACTTCTGATGGTTCAGTGAAGTGTTTTCTTCGCGGTACGGTCTGGATTCGTAAATAATATTCAGACGAGCTTCGGCTTCAAAGGGTTAACCAGCTGATTTTCGTAATGGTGAGGTGTAGTGTTTTCTTCGCGGTACGGACTGAATTCATAAATAATATTCAGACGATCTTCGGCTTCAGAGGGTTAAGCTCCACGTCCAGCATAGCGGGGCACCACATTTCTGCAGTCGACGTCATAGTGCAGTTCCTTGTCCGATGGGCTGGCCGTGAGTAAAAATGGCCAACGTGATCACCGGACCTCACTCGGCTTCATTTACACGTGTGGTGTCGCATGTAGAAAACGTGGCGTATGAATACAAAATAAAATTTTTCGATGCTGGAAAACGCAAAACTGACTCTCTTATGGTTGAAATCGTCCTGAAATTCTAATATTCAAGAGCTCCGTAAGATTCGAGAATTGGGACTCATGTTCGTTGACATCTGTGACTGGCAATGACCTCGTAAGTACTGATATTAAGTCACCGGACACTCAGTGTAGTTGCAACTAGGCTTTAAAGGGTTAGTTCTCATTCTTATCAAGTCCAATGTAACTCTCACAAAACACGAGGTCAAATCAAACTTTATCAGTGTTTGAGACTCATCGTACACATCTGTGCATAAAACATGACAAATTAATTTCTGTTCAACAAAAATCACGCCCATATTTGATACGTGTCCAATGAATTTTGCAATAACATATGTGACGGCCACAAATGAACACTCAAAAGTGAGGTAAGCAAAATAGCAATGAATGCATTGTACACTTTTCTTCCGTGTGTGTCTGTCTGGAAGATGCAGGTTTGAGTAGCTGGATGATGTTGTCCACCGGGTAGGACCCGCGGGTCCATGTAAGCACTACACGCGGATAGAGGGGACTGTTCCCAGTGTGGGGGGATATTTCCTAATGAACGCAAGACAGCCATTTTTCAGGCTAGTGTGGAAGATATTATTATTTATAGAGGAAATTTATTGCTTTCAATTATGGGAAAAAATATACTACGATAACTTTGGCTGGGTGAATAAGGATTTCAGTTGATAAACAGAGAAAAAAAAATATTATCAGATATGCAGAAGGGCTATATAAGATGAGTCGAATTAACGAAAAAATGTTATTATATTACCAACAGTTCTAGATAAATATTTGGACGAGAAGATACGAATATTATATTGTGCATTAATAGATGATATCAACAGGTCTGCTATATGGAGCAAGTTATCTACCAAAGGACTTAATTTAAGCATGGCTGTAGTATATAAATTTAAAATAATGGTATACTTATTTTTGCGAAACGTGGAGAACACTTGAACATGTAGGGGATTAGGGCGAGGATGACCACTGAGATTGTTTTTAATATATTCATAAACAATATTTCTCCCCCTGAGCGTCTTCATGGTGCGAACCGAGATGGTTTTTATGGGAACGTTTGGGTTATCATACTCACGAAGACTGTAAATATCAGGAATATAGAACCACTGAAGAAGACAGGAGAACATCTGTTTACAATATATTAGAAAAAGAACACGAAAGAGAATAGCAAAACATCCAATGCAACAGCCATCACTACGACACACTCGGCGCAAAATGAACCACACTCGCATCATGTCACTGATTGACTCTGGACGACAGTGTGACCGTGCGTAAGGAATTTTGCCAATCATACAACCAAAATGTTATCGGGGACATTTAATTTGAAAATTAGGAAGAGTCCTAGGCGAATCGAGAACCACAAAGTCTCAGGCGAAGAATCGAACTCAGAAACACTGGAATACGAAACATAAACTACTTCACAAAGCAAAATTGACATTACACATACGATACATTTGCACCCAGCCACAATTAATAAAATTACTCCAACACATAATTGAATATAATGAACAGAAAGTAAATATTCATAATCTACAAGCAAGAGTTCAAAGGTCTTCAACCACGAGAACCTTGAACTTTTACATTCAACTTATTTTTAAATTCGATCTTGTTTGCTGATCGCTGAAGCCTAGTGTTCGATTGGTAAGTGAAGGTAACGTACGAATGTGCGCCTTCCAAAGCCACTAAAGTTGTCCTGCGTAGAACAGGACGTGCCAATGCAACCATCCTGTTCAAAAAAAAAAAAGTGTATCAATGCAATCGACCTCTCGAAAAACCTCTGTCACCGGAATCCTTCTGCCTAGAAGCACAACTGTGTGCAGTTAATAATATATAATCTTCTGGCTTGTAGCGCCATGTAGTCTGGTAGAAGTTTACTGACGTTTCAGAGGTCCATGTTGCCTCCATCATCAGGGCGCTACAACCCAGAAGACACGCAATTAGAAACACGTTAAATATTTGATCTGTGGCGTATGCAGAGACGCTCGTGTGTAAGACGTCATGTAAAGTCTGAGAATGCTTACGTAGATATTCGGAGTTTCCAAATCATAACTCACTGCAACAACTGTCAAGTTTCCATTCATCTGCTTCAAATCCGTACAGACGGCCATCTGCTGGTTTTTACTATGCACCCCCCTCCCCCGGACCCCTAGAGACTTACGCCGGCCATGATG